CTGTATTTTCTCCTTTCAGACCTAACCATATGCACTTTGGGTTCAAGCAGGAGTGTCTTTTCTATGTCTGTGAAATGTCTACACTGTAAGATTTCCTTTGTATTTTGCTGAAGCTTTGTGAGAGAATTGAGGACAGAAAAGCTGAAGTAAAAAGAATTTCTCTTTAAAGTTTGCCAGGAATCACCATTTACAGCATACAACTGTTGCCTTCTCACTAGACCATATATGCAAGTGTAGGCATTTTAGAGAGTCCAAAATTGTAGGAAATGCTCCAGCCTTTTAACTGAGGTAGGGAGAAAAATTGAGCTGAAGATCCCAAAAAAAGATGTAGCCCCTTTCAGACATGTGAGGAAGAATGAAGCCAAGGGAAATTCTGCAGAGCAGGAATATGATCAGTTAGTAGCACTCTAGGAAAGATGTGTTCTTTTCCCCTTCTATTCGGTGTGGCCCCTCCTTGCTCTCCTATATCTTCTGGCTGAGAAGGGAATACAGACAGAGGTTTCACACTCAGTCACTTAGACATCATTTGACCTGTGCACTTTGCTCTCCTGGAACATTGCCTGGAGAGCCTTGATTTAATAGCTGCATTTTTGGCCAATGTCTGCATATATGGCTTGTCTCATGTGTGCTCATCTGGATGGCAGGATGAAGAAAGGCAGTCACTGAATTAGCCCAGTGTCTTCTGTACATAGGGGTGGAGGTGTAGGAATTGCAGGCGTTTATTAGAGGACTTTGGCTAGAAGTGGAAAGTTAGCATTTAGGCTGAAAATGCTTTTTGGCCGTGGTTTTTCTTGGCTGAATTTTAGTGTTTTTATAAATGTGCATATCTCTTTTGTTTTACTGAGCTATTTGAGGATACTCCCTCTCTTGGTTTGTTTCTACTTACAGCTTTTAAAAAAAGTAATTGTGAGGCTGGCATGATGGCCTAGCTGCCATACCACCAAAAATGTCCAGTAACAATCACAGTCCAACATGATTATAATTATGAAAATGGCTTTCTAGAAATAAGACTGTGACATCCCTCACTCACTGTACCCTTTTATGATTAATACTTTATTCCTTAGGAAGCTGGGATCATGCTAGGTGTCCTCTTAAACATTCTCAGATTTGCTGGCTGACAGGATTTTTCACTTGGTGTTTTCTATTTTGACATCCCATGTATAGAGCCTTATATTGTTGGGTTTGTTTATGTTTTCTCGGTGGGACTATAAATTCCCAGAATAAAAGGACACTGCCCTTGTTGTTTTTCTTCGTCTCTGTTCCCTTCAGCTTTGCCACGATCTTGTGTCAAATATGCTTGACTCTTCCTCCTAACTCCTTTAAGAGCTAAAAAGGCCTGAGGGATGCCTCTTGGAGGTGAATGGGGGAAAATGGGTTGGTACCTAGGCAGGGAGGAATCCTGCTTTGCCTATTCAAAGGATAAACTAGGGCAGAAGTTAAGAAGAACAAAATGAAAATCAATGTGTCATTCCAGAAGGACTGCCAGATAGCAGAGCCAAAATAAAAATGGAATGTTCCCAAGCCAGCACCTCTGCTTGCCCCAGCCTTGCAGATGATGTACCCCTGTCAGTGACCATCACTCCTGCCTGTCAGCTGTTGCTCTCCAAGGCTGTCCATCTCCGACAGCTCCAACTGGGCTTTGAGATTTATTTCCCTAGTCCTGCATTGGGGTTCCTCACCAGTCATCCATACCCCACCAGGTCTGATGAATCACTAGAAGGGCTCATAGGACCCAGAGTTGTACTTACAAGTGTAATTTATTTCAGCAAAAGGATACAAAGCAAAATCAGCAAAGGGGGAAGGTATGTGGGGTGAAGTCCAGAGGAGACCAGGCAAGAGTTTCTGAGAGTCCTTTTCCAGTGGAGTCACACAGGACATGCTCAGTTCCCTTAGCAACAAGTTGTGACAGCACGTGAAGTGTTGTCTATCTGGTGTCAACTAAAAATAAAATCCTAAGTCCCTAACTGACTGAAAGGACCCTCTGTTGGCCACGGGACCCTAGAAAAACCTTAAAAACTGGCTTTCCAGCCATGATGGGAAGGGAGGTCAGACACACCTCATTCTAACTCCCTGTCTTTTGGAGTTTAGGCACAAATGATCAGCATTAATGTTAAAATAGAAACCAAAAGTCTGACAGAACAGACTCTTTGTGGCAATGAAATACCGAAGTATAAACGAGACCTAAGACCATGCCAGGCAAGTATTAAGTCACACCCTACAAACCACACTCTTGTTAAACAGATTTTTTAAATTAACCTGCAATAATGTGGGTTACTTTCCAACATTTTGTATAGCATCATGTGACAGCAGACTCCCCTTTTTAATTTAAGCATTCCTTTGTACTGACTTCAAGTCTTGAGACACAGCTTAATTCTTTCAGCTAATTGCTAATCAGAAAATCTTTGAATCCACCTATGACTTGTAAGCCCCAGCTTTAAGATATCCCACCTATTTAGGCTGAACCAATGTTTACCTACTATGCATTGATTCATGACGTTACCTGCAATTCTCATCTCCCTAAACTGGATAAACCAAACCAACCTGACTGCCCACCAGCCCACCTCCAGCACACTCTCAGGACCTCTTGAGACTGTGTTCTCTGGGCCATAGTCCCTCATACTGGCTCAGAATACATCTCTTTACAATATTTTACAGAGTTTGGTTTTTCTGTTAACACAGGGGCGCTCATTAGAGACTCAGTATCCAGGTTTTTTGTTGGGATTGGTCATGTAACACCCTCTGCCTGGCAAGTTTGAAAATTGCATACTGTCATAAGGAAAGCAGGTATGCAGCATAAACTGCATTGTTTGCACACACAGTTTAGGCACAGCAAGGCATACTTATCAGGGAATGCTGGGAACCCTCCTGGAATCCAAGTTTCAGATGCCAGCCAAGGGCCAACCTTGCAAACAGGCCTTTTTCTAAGGATAGCAGTCTCAGCCTGCCAGTTTAAGTCTTTCCTGCAATAAATTTCCTCTTGCTTTTTTTTTTTTTTCATTGAATTTATTGAATTGGAGGTTCAAATTCGCATCAGATGATTTGAATCATTGGCTAGTTGGGCCTTGGTCCATTGTCACTTAGGGGGAAACCTTGGTTTGGATTGATGGGGTTTTGCTTTTGGGACATTGTTTGACTTTGCTGCCTGCCTGCAGCCTGTGGAATGTGTCTGCTGATGGGCTAGTTTCCTACTTGCCTCTGTCTTTGTATCAAGATAATTCATCCCGCATTGCCCCAATTGCCCTGTCCTGGTTGTCAGACTTTTTGCTTGTGGGAGCATTTTCATGCCTTGGTTCCCAGATGGTGCTGATACAGCCTACAGGTCCACAGGCTCAAACATAAGCACGCTATGTGCTGCTTTCTTAGGGAGCCATGAGTGCAGTTGAAATAACCTTGCTTAAACCTGTCTTACCATTTAGGAAACTGTTTCTTGGGATTTGAATGTCTTTGCCTTTAGCTTTTGTTCTTTTTCTTGTTTCTTATTTTGTTTTGCAATGTTTATTTTGTTTTTGAGACCGAGTCTCACTCTGTCACCTAGGCTGGAGTGCAGTAGTGCAATCTTGGCTCACTGCAACCTCAGACTCCCTGGCAATTCTCCTGCCTCAGCCTCCTGAGTAGCTGGGATTACAGGGACACACCACCACGCCCAGCTAATTTTTGTATTTTTAGTAGAGACAGAGTTTCACTGTGTTGGCTAGGATGGTGTTGATCTTCTGACCTCATGATCTGCCTGCCTCAGCCTCCCAAAGTGCTGGGATTACAGGCGTGAGCCACTGCAGCCAGCCTTGTTTCTGTTTTTTTACTCATTGTTTTTCTGCTTTTGAGTTTTTGTTGCCTGGCTTCAAAAATCTTATATTACAACCATGGTTTGGAACTATTTTTGTCATCTCCTTGTTCTTCTCTGGGCAGGGTCATTCCAGATAACTTGCCCCTCTCCTGCACACTGTTGATGGCAAGGAGGTTCCAAAGCAGTGGTCTGCAGAGGGCTTCTCAGATCCTGAGGGACAGCTCAGCTCTGCTGGCCTCTTGCATCATTTATGTTTGTATTAGATCATGTCTGTCCTCTTGCCTCTGGCCTGAACTGATTCACTTACATGTGCCTCTAAGATGATCAAGGTGAACTAATTGCCTGTTTTTAGCCACGCTACCTATTCCATAATCCTTGCTGAAGCTATTGTCAGACAGTGATGAAATAGGGATTCATTTATCACTCACTGTGACTGAGCTAAGCTGGCTATGTGTGAGCTTGGGAAGCTTCACTAAACATACCCCATACCCTAGGATTCCTCCGTCAGCCAGGGTGGCATGGTATTTGCCTGTCCTAAATCAGCTGACCAAAGACTTCATCTTCATGGAAGTCTTGTCACCAAAAGCCCTAGGGGACAGGAGTCTTTTTGCCAACATTATTAGAGTTTAAAGTCTTAGCTATTGCTGATTTAAGGACTGCAGAAGAGAAGGGCCAAGAAGCCAAGCGACACAGGGGGCTCCAGCTCCAAGGAGAAAGGGATGGTGGCTGGGGAGTGGGTGTTCTGGGAATAGTCTGCTGAGCACTTTGAAATATGGCTAGTGCCACTGAGGAACTGAATGTTTAATTTTACTTAATTCCAATTAATTTAAATAGCCACACGTACCTAGTGGCCCCTGAATGGAACAGTGCAATGTTAGAATCAGTACAGGGAAGCGTTTAGAACGTGACCTTCAGGACTTTGATTGAGATTCCAGCTCTGTTGTCTACCCGCTGATTGACCATGGGGATGCTTCCTAACCTGCAGTTGTTTTGAGAATTTGTTGTATTCAATGTAAAGAGTTTAGAACAGTGCCTGGCAAGAAATGTGTGTATAGTTAATGTTGGCTTATCATATGTTCACTCAGTATTTTGAATGGAATGGTGGTAGAGTTCATGTGGAATATAAAATGCTACTGCTTTTTGGGGTGTGGAGTGTGTGTATGTGTGTTTTATGTTTTCTTTCTTTTAAAAAGAAATTGTTCTTTTGTTGCTCCAGGTTGCTGCAGCAACTGGTCACACAGTAGTGTTGGTAGACCAGACAGAGGACATCCTGGCAAAATCCAAAAAGGGAATTGAGGAAAGCCTTAGGAAAGTGGCAAAGAAGAAGTTTGCAGAAGACCCTAAGGTAATTTCTTATTATCGATGTCTTTAAGCCAAATCCTCTGACTTCTTCACATTTGCAGGGCAATGGGGATTTCTGGCTTGCTTTCTTTCTGTTTTCAGTTTGTTGGTGTAAAATTCATTTTCCCACAACTTTAAATCAGTATGATAACATAATCACTAAACATTCGGGGGTACTGATTACAAAACAGGAGAAGTCAATAACCATTTTGTTGCATGGAATTTAAGGTTGAGAAGAAAGCTTGTACAGGTGGTGAACTCATTCTAGAAGAACATTGAGAATTTGGAATTGAAGAATACTTGTTTTGCTGAAAGGATGGAGGAAGAACAAACAGGAAGATAATTTTTGTACTACAAGTTAAGAAGAGAATGATATAATAAATATGGTATTTGTAGAAACTAAGAGTGAATCATTCTCATTTACCAGGAGCAGAAGAGATAGAAGAATTTGAGGAACTCTGTGGAGGTTGGGAAAAAACAGCATGGTGGGATGAGAAGGAGTTGGTGACTGAGGACTGTGCTGCTTTTTCAGTGTACTTTCACTTAGGATTCTGCATTTAATTAGAAATACAACACAAATCACCCAAGTGAATTTTAATTTACCTTTGTCACCTTTTTAAAGTTACTTAAGATTGATTTCCTTAGGGCTTAGATGGAATTTCTCTCTGTATGCAGAGCAAAGTACCCATAGGACATTTGTTGTTTCTCACTTCAAGTCTCCAAGGTGGTATATCTAGATGCTTTAAAAAAATTTTTTTAGGCCAGGCACAGTGGCTCATGCATGTAATCCCAGCACTTTGGGAGGCTGAGGCAGGCGGATCACAAGGTCAAGAGATGGAGACCATCCTGGCTAACATGGTGAAACCCCATCTCTATTAAAAATACCAAAAATTAGCTGGGCATGGTGGCAAGGGCCTGTAGTCACAACTACTTGGGAGAATGAGGCAGGAGAATTACTTGAGCCCAGGAGGCGGAGGTTGCAGTAAGCCAAGATTGTGCCACTACACACAGCCTGGGCAACAGAGCATTAAGCGAGACTCCATCTCAAAAAAAAAAAAATTATTGTGGTCAAATATATATAACATAAAATTTGCCATTTTAAACTATACAATTCAGTAGGATTAATTACACTCACACATTCATATGTCATATAAGTGGAATCATACAATATTTGTCCTTTTGTGTCTGATTTATTTCACTAAGCATAAAGTTTTCAAGGTTCATCCATGTTGTAACATGTCACACTTCATTCCTTTTTAAGAGTTAATATTCCACTGAGTTATTACCATATTCCAATTTAATATTCCATTGGATTTATACCACTTTTTTTAACCCATTGTTATCAGTCTGTTCTCACATTGCTAATAAAGACATACCCGAGACTGGGTAATTTATAAAGGAAAGAGGTTTAATTGACTCATAGTTCCACATGGCTGGGGAGGCCTCACAATCATGGTGAAAGGCAAAGGAAGAACAAAGCCATGTCTTCCATGGTGGCAGGCGAGAGAGAGAGCATGTGCAGGGGAGCTGTCCTTTATAATTTACATCCCACTGGGTCCCTCCCACGACACATGGGGGTTATTACAATTCAGGGTGAGATTTGGGTGGGAACATGTCACTCATTCATCTGTTAGTGGAATTGGGTTGTTTTCACCTTTTGGCTATTTTGAATAATGCTGCAGTAAACATTGGTATACTATTGGTTTGGAGTCTCTGTTTTCTTTTCTTTTTTTTGAGACGGAGTTTCGCTCTTGTTACCCAGTCTGGAGTGCAATGGTGCGATCTCGGCTCACCGCAACCTCCGCCTCCTGGGTTCAGGCAATTCTCCTGCCTCAGCCTCCTGAGTAGCTGGGATTACAGGCGCGCACCACCATGCCCAGCTAATTTTTTGTATTTTTAGTAGAGACGGGGTTTCACCATGTTGACCAGGATGGTCTCGATCTCTTGACCTCGTGATCCACCGCCTCGGCCTCCCAAAGTGCTGGGATTACAGGCTTGAGCCACCACGCCCGGCCGAGTCTCTGTTTTCAATTGTTTGGGTTATATACGTACAAGTAGAATTGCTGGGTTGTATGGTAATTCTATATTTAGCTTTCTGAGGAACCACCAAATTGTTTTCTATAGTGACTGTGCTATTTTACATTCCCACCAACAAAGTACAAAAGTCATAATTTCCCCACATCCTGGCCAATACTTGCTATTTTTTATGTTTGTTTTGTTTTGTTTTTTATTGTACCCGTCTTAGGTGTGAAGTAGTATCTCATTGTGGTATTTTTTTCTTTTGTTTTGGAAATGGGATCTTGCTCTGCTACCCAGGCTGGAGAGCGGTGGCATGATCATAGCTCACTGTAGCCTTGAACTCCTAGGCTCAAGCCATTTTCTCACTTCAGCCTCCCCAGTAGCTGGACTATAGATGTGAGCCACCACAGCTGGCTAATTAAAAAAAATTTTTTTAGACTGGGCGCGGTGGCTTACGCCTGTAATCCCAGCACTTTGGGAGGCCGAGGCGGGTGGATCACGAGGTCAACAGATCGAGACCATCCTGGCCAACATGGTGAAACCCCATCTCTACTAAAAATACAAAAACTTAGCTGGGCATGGTGGCTCATGCCTGTAATCCCAGCTACTCGAGAGGCTGAGGCAGGAGAATTGCCTGAACCCAGGAGGCGGAGGTTGCGGTGAGCTGAGATCGTGCCATTGCACTCCAGCCTGGGTAACAAGAGTGAAACTCCGTTTCAAAAAAAAATTTTTTTTAGACATGGAGTCAAGCTGTTGCCCAGGCTGCTCTCAAACTCCTGGCCTCAAATGATCCTCCTGCCTTGGCCTCTCAAAGTGCTGGGATTACAAGCATAAGCTACCAGGTCCTGCTATCATTATGGTTTTGATTTGCATTTTTCCCCAGTGTCTAGTGGCCTTTAAAAGCCAGAGAGGTGAGGGTGGAAATAATTTTACCTTCTTTTTGATGAAATTCAAAGAGTAAATAGCACAGGCAGATTAAGATCTCTTACCTGTCCCTTATATTCTTAACGGTAGTGGGACACCACACAGGGGATGTTATGAGGATCCAGACAGATGAGATTATAAGAGCCCTGGGCTGGAGTCTAGGACAGAGTGAGTTTGACCCAGATAGCCTGCATTTTCTCCTTGTTTACTCTACAAACTTTCAGCTAATTGTCTCCTTGGACTGAGTTTCTGAGCCACACCCTAAGGATAAAAGGATGACCCCTGTGCTCAAGTTGCTCAGCTCTGGCCAACTACTCCTTAGGAGTCTATCTTCCTGAGGTTTCTCTCCTCTGCCAGGGACACCACTGAAGAGGTTTCACTTTGCCTAGTTGACGTACTATATGTATCTAGCTCTTTACTGACCACGAGTACAATAACCACTAGCCACAAGTGGCTACTGAGTGCTTGAAATGTGGCTAGTCCAGCTAGAGATGTGCTTTGAGTGTAAAATAGACACCAGATTTCAAATATGTAATAGGGGAAAAAAATATAAAACACCTCAGATTACCTGTTGAAGTGATGACATCTTAGATATATTGGGTTAAATAACATTCATTTCACCTGAAAATGTCTTTTCCTTTTTTAAAATGTGGCTGGTAGAATATTTAAAATTACCTGTTATCTCACATTATGTTATTTCTGTAGAATAGCCGAGATCTAGCTGCTTAGTCCATGATGACTTGGGATGACTATGAGTGTTTTGATGCCCTGGGGACAAATTACACCATGAAATACAATGGGGGCTTATAGAGGCACCATCCCTAATTCTGCCTGTATTGAGGTCTGTGGAAACCTGAATCAAAGTAGGAAAAGGAGGAAACAATGAAACTACAGGCTCTTTGGCAGCAGAGGCTGTGTCTAGCTTGTTTTAGGAGCACCATTTTCAGTCACACGATGGGCAATAATTATTTAATAAGTGCTAAGTCAGCTTTCCTACCCTGGCTCTTGCCCTTGCTCTGATACGAGCTAGTCTCTGCTCTTATTAGTGAGGAATACTCAGCACCACCTCAAGACTAATGGATGGTACGGAGCTATGGAAGGATAAATTACAGGCTTTGTGGACATTTTGAGAACAGATAGGGTGGGCCAATACAGGTGCTCTGAACACACAGTTTACCACTACAGCAGAGCTAAGAACTTGAAAGATCATTTTCAGTGGGCCCGGTGAATGTTCTCTTCTTCCTCCCACTGCATTAGGCTGGCGATGAATTTGTGGTGAAGACCCTGAGCAGCATAACGACCAGCACAGATGCAGCCTCCGTTGTCCACAGCACAGACTTGGTGGTGGAAGCCATTGCGGAGAATCTGCAGTTGAAAAATGAACTCTTCAAAAGGCTGGACAAGTTTGCTGCTGAGTATGTAACCTCTGGACAATCGTTTTTGTTTTTCATTTTTATTTTTTATTTTATAGATTTGTGGGTACAAATGCAGTTTTGTTCCATGGATATGTTGTGTAGTGATGAAGTCTGGGATTTTAGTATACCCATCACTCACATAGTGAACACTGTACCCAATAGGTAATTTCAACCCTCGCCACCCTCCCACTTTTTGGATCTCCAGTGTCTGTTATTTTCCTCTGTATGTCATGGATACCTGTTGTTTAGTTGTCACTTATATGTGAGAACATAACGGTATTTGATTGAGTTGTTTCACTTAAGACGATGGCCTCCATTCCTGTTCATGTTGCTTCAAAAGACATGATTTTATTCTTTTTTATAATTGAGTAGTATTCCATGATATATATATGCTACATTTGCTTTATCTAGTCAGCCATTGATGGATACTTAGGTTGATTTCATGTCTTTGCTTTTGCGAATAGTGCTGCAATAAACATGAGTGCAGGTATCTTTTTGATAGAATGAGTTCTTTTCCTTTAGTTATATACCCAATAGTGGGGCTGCTGGATCAAATGATAATTTTATTTTTAGTTTTCTGAGAAATTTCCATACTGTTTTCCTTAAAGGTTGTACTAATTTACATTGCCACTGGCAGCATGCAAGGGTTCCCTTTTCTCCGGATCCTCACCAGTATCTGTTGTTTCTTGACTTTTTAATAAAAGCCATTCTGACTGGTATCAGGTGCTAAAATCATTGTGGTTTTAATTTCCATTTCTCTGATGATTAGTGATGCTGAGCATTTTCTCATATGTTTATTAACCACTTGTATGTCTTCTTTTTTTTTTTAAATATTTGTTCATGATTCCTGGACATTCTTGGCAGGTTCTGAGGGGTCCCTCCCTGGGCCTTGAGCTTTGCTCCTTATTTATTGCCTTCTCCGAGGAAGGGATCTTCTAAGTTCATCCACTTCTCTCTCTCGTACCCCACAGCTATTTCAAGAAGAGCCAATATGTTTTCCTTTGTTCTCCATCCTCCCACTCCCAGTTTGCTTCCTGAGGCTTGGGCTGCCCTGATCTGATCCTTGTCCCGAATGAGGCTAGAATACTCATGGTAACATGGAGGGGTCCATCCAGGGACAAGCCTATATGTTTCTTAAAATGTGTAGTTCATGGGTATTCCTATGCCTGAGAATGGAGGAGGCTTGGTCTGAAGTTCCTTGGTTCATTTCACACTGGCATCTAGAGGCTGCAGAGACATCTGACAGCAGACAGTTAGGATATTCCTGTGCTCCGTTCTCAGGCATAGGAGTACCCTATGCGTCCTTCACTGTTTGCCAAGGACCCTCAGAGGAGTTTCATGTTTCCTCCTTTCTTTGGATGGAGCAAACAGAATGGTATAATTGAAGGGAATGCCTGTAGACAGAGAGAACTTTGCTGTTTTGAGCTTTTTCTGGGTTCATTCCAAGTACTCTTGGGAGCGTTAAAGGAGCATTGACCTTTTAGCTGCCTGGCTTCTTGGTGAAATTCCTCCTGGCAGAATGCACCTCAGGATCCACAACCTTTGAGTGTGTGACACCTGACTCGCTGATCAGTGCTCTTCTAGTGACTTGCTTGACTATACTTCATGCTTCTTGGTTGAAATTGAATGGCAGAATATTATATGACAAAAGCAATTCTCAGGGCACTTCCCGGGGGCAGTGGCTAAAGAGAGACACTTGCATACCAGCCTGCCAGAATGTCAGCGCTCAGAGATAGGTGGCCTTGTGGCCAGAGAAACCCTGCCCTTGACAAAGAGAAGAGACTTGCCTTTCTGTTATTCGTACATCACTGCCAATTGGTGTCCTCATGCATTTCACACCGTCATCTAGAGGCTGCAGAGACATCTGACAAAACCAAAAGACAATTGTATACCAGTGCTGGCTCCCAGGTCAGCAGGGAGCCCTCTGGGACAATAAACACCCACCCCAAAAAGGAGTTTTGTCAAGCAGTTTGATCTTTATTGAAAGATTGGTCATTCTTGGTGACAGTGAAATGCCCGACTGCCCTTTGTTGTCTGTGTCTGGGACAGAAGAATCTTTGGGGAAAGTCAGGAGGCCTGGTCCTGGTGCCAACCCCCCACCACTTCCAACCTTGGAAAGATCCTCAGTTTCATCGTCTGTAAGGCAAGTTGAGGGGCTTGGGGTAAATAATTTCCCAGACCTTTCTGGTTCTAACTCTCCATGACTTGCTTCCCCCTACATGTAAAATAGGGATAGCAGCATTGGTACCTATTGTATAAAGTTGTTTAGGAAACTCATTTAATTTCGCTCACATTTTCTGAGTGCCTGCTGTGTATCAGGCACTATACTAGGCTCTTTCACCTGAATTGATGCAGAACAGATGTGACGTGTGAAAAGAAGGCATGACCCATAGTCACACTGAGGATGTGGCTTTGCTTCTGACCACCACCTTTCTTGGCACTCTTTGTTTTCATTTTAGATTGCCACCATTATTGAATACTTGCTAAATTTTTTAAACAGCTGTATTGAAAGGTACTTTACTGGCAAGTTGTAGTTTGATCCTGTAATGGGAGAAGAAAATAAAGTCAACTGATGTATTTCCCGTTGGAAGCCCTGATGAAAGAGTTGCATCCTGGAGAGAAACATGACTTCTCTAGCAGCAGCCTAAGACACACAAACGAAAAGTTTGACCAGGTCCACAGGCAGCCGGAGCGAAGTCCTTACTTTCTCTTTCAGACAAAATATGGACTCTTAGATCCTGACTACCTCTCTTGTCTTGATACAAGGCTTTCTTCCCTCCTCTGCAAATAACTGGTTTATTCTCCCTTCTCTTTTCCTCTCCTCCCACCTGTCCCTTATTTGAGCAGATTATACTATTGCCTTTTAGGTAAGCAGGAACCCCCAAGTCTGGTGGGTAAGAGATCCTTGCCTTTCACAGGACAGGCCCTTATGGTTGGAATTAGTAGCAGGCTGGTTTGTGTATTTTTATCCACAAGGTGGCGCTGCAGGAAAGCCTGGAAGTTGGCCTGTCTAAAGCTTTTCCTCTCTTGCCTTTGGCACCCCCACTTTACTGTGGCCTTAAAAAACTAAATTTGGTTTAAGTTAGTATGGATCTTCTTAAAATTAATAGGTTAATATTTACACAGGCACATATATATATTCTGTTTTCCCCAGATCTACCTGTGTAACCTTAAAATTTCATTTTAATTCCCATCCAATGGAAAAATACAGCTTTTCACTTGAGGGAAGATATCTTAATTCATGTTTATTATCAGATGTTTCTGATTGAGGTTTAATGTGTTCATTTAGAATTTTTTTTTTGTTGCTTTTAAGTGTCTTTCTTTCATTATTCTTTGATCATTGAGAGTTTCATTTTGTGACTGGGATTGGTTAAAGTAGGTTGATCAATTAGCCACCTCCTATTATCTCACATACCACGAGGTTAACTAATGCAAGTAGATAAAGGAAATTTTGTTCCCGAAAATCAAGGAAGTATTGGTGAAGGATAAATACCCTTTGGAACAGGAAATTCTAATACTGTTTACTTTCAAATTTCAGAATTTAAATAAAGCTGAAGTCACTTGATTTCAGCCGCTTGTATAAAGATGTATCTTTTTTTTTTTTTTGAGATGGAGTTTCACTCTTGTTACCCAGGCAGGAGTGCAATGGTGCGATCTCGGCTCACCGCAACCTCCGCCTCCTGGGTTCAGGCAATTCTCTTGCCTCAGCCTCCTGAGTAGCTGGGATTACAGGCACATACCACCATGCCCAGCTAATTTTTTGTATTTTTAGTAGTGATGGGGTTTCACCACGTTGACCAGGATGGTCTCAATCTCTTGACCTCGTGATCCACCCGCCTCGGCCTCCCAAAGTGCTGGGATTACAGGCGTGAGCCACCGCGCCCGGCAAAGATGTATCTTTTCCCTGATTTCTGCAGTGGGTCCAGACAGCAGATCTGGCAGTAAACAGTCACCTTGCTCACTGCACCCAAAAGTCATGCTGTTTCGAAAGATGAGATTCACTCTGATGCGCCACAATATTTTCTCTCCACAGACATACAATCTTTGCCAGCAACACTTCCTCCTTGCAGATTACAAGCATAGCCAATGCCACCACTAGACAAGACCGATTCGCTGGCCTCCATTTCTTCAACCCAGTGCCCATGATGAAACTTGTGGAGGTCAGTGGGTGTCAGCTTGTGTGTGTCTGCCTGCTCTGCCAGCTCTCTCAGTCCTGCTTTTCTGAGTTACACCAGCCCTGTCACCAGTTGCATAGGACAGGTTTTGACCTGAGGGTAGAAGGTTGTCTCTGAGCCTCCTATCTAGGAAGGCCTCTATACTTTGTTTCTTTGCAGCCCTGTGTTTTCCTTAGTGGTATCCAGAAGGGCTGTTAACTTTGTGGAATGTCGTTTACTTATTTGTGCCAGAGCTGATGGGCAGTGCTGAGAGACATCAGAATGGGAAGGCGCAACTAGAAACCATGGGGCCACAGAGAGGGCAGCTCCATGTGTTTGTGTTATCTCATTGAGGTCAGCTTGCCCATGCTATAAATGCAGTTCTCATTAGATCTACTATACTACCTTGTCCACAGTCCTGGGGTGAATTCTGACCCCATGTAATGATGCCTTAGCGTTGTCCCCAGATGAGGTACATCTTCTGTGTGTTGTGATTAGAGCTATTAAAAGCAGCTCCCACTGGGTGTGGCAGCTCATGCCTGTAATCCCAGAACTTTTGGGGGAATGAGGAGGATAAAGGAAGGAAAAGGTAGTTGGAAACAGCAATAATGAAGAAAACGGATGATACACAATCCCATAGAGGCCACAGCCAGACTCTGGAGGTGGAAGTGAGTGGATTACATGAAACCCAGGGGTTTGAGACCAGCCTGGGCAACATGGCAAGACCCCATCTCTACAAAAAATAAAAAAATTAGCCAGGTGTTTTGGTGCATGCATGTAGTCTCAGGTACTTGGAAGGCTGAAGTGAGAGGATTGATTGAACCCGGGAGGTTGAGGCTGAAGTGAGCTGTGATTGCACCCCTGCACTACAGCCTGGATGACAGAGCAAGATCCTATATTTTAAAAAAATACCATAAAAGTAAAAAAAATAAGATAAAATAAAAGCAGCTTCTGATAGCCTTGAGCCTCTTGACCACAAACCTGGAAGGTGTGGGGGAGGCAGGGAGGGTTTCCCCAATATCCTGTTTGGAATGCTTGGAGACTCCAGTCTGCTCGAGTTGGAGTCACAGTAGGCAATTTGCACCTGAAAAGTGGCAACTTGCCTTTTACAGGGCCCTAATTACAGCGTCTGAGGAGCAGCCGCCTATTAAAGTAGCATTTGTTCTGAGGTTGAGTAGTTATTGCCCTGCGAAGTGTGGGGGACGCTGATGCTGCCATGTGGGTGATGTGGAGCCAGGCAAACCTCCAGAAACTGGCCGTGGCCTCTCTGGGAGTGTGTATCATCTGTTTTCATTATGGTTATTGCCTTGTTCAATTCCCTTTTCCTTCCTTTATCCTCCTCATTTCCCCCACCACTACTTAGCATAAGCATTTTTAATAAGTTATAACAATGACTGCATTTTTTTAGAGTTTTCTCTCAAGTAACAACTTTGACCATCTTGCAATAGGACTTTTACCTGTGTTGCTAACATTGCTTCTCAGCTTCTTCCTACTTTCTCCTATGCCCTAAGGCTGTTTTTGAAGAAGTCGAAGAATGAAGGGGAGGGGTTTGGGTAACAGAAGAAACAGCATTTATCCTCCTGCAGATAAAAGCAAAGAAGTGGCGTGCATGTCCAACATTTTAGTACTTGGTCTAATTGATTTCTTTAGTTATTATATTGTACATATAAGTGTTTTAGAGATAGATACATTCTGTAGATTTATTTTAATAATGTTTTCAACTGCATTTATCTGGTAATGTATGCTTATGTCTTTGGAAATGTAGTGTGTTGGTTGTTAACACCTGATATTTAGCAAATGTTACCATTTTTCTATAAAGCATTTGGTAAAAGTGCTCTTCTCTGTTCCATTTTTATTGTTAAACTTTAGCTCTTGCTAGTGTTGCTGGTGTGCACCAAAATGACTTGTATAATAAGCTGAGTGGCTCCTTTACTTAGGACTGGGCTCATTTAAATGTGTGTATATATGTATGTGTGTGGTATATATATATTTTCAGACTCTGTTGGAACTATGAGCAGCATATCTGTACAAATTGCAGTTTGTTGAATGAATGAATGAACAAATGAATAAACATGCATCTTTCCTGCTTAAAAACAACAAGCCTTCACTGTTGTTAACCCTTTTAAACCAAAAACTGATTTTGAAGACACCATAGTCATCAGTGTTTGTCCCAGTTCAGTCTGTGGTTTTGATGGAGACTCTGGGATTGTTTGATTTGTGGTACCCTCAGGGTGGCTTCTGATCTTTCTCATCCTGCTGATCATCTGCATCTTCATTATGCCTTTTCCTGTTTCCATCCATTCACTTCTCTTAGTGTCATGACAGGACACCACAGTCCAGTTCTCACAGGAGTGAGAACTCTTCTTCGTTTATATAGCATCTTTCATCCCTGCACAGACACTAGTTCATTAGTTCACCAAGTCACACGGTCCTCTTGCACAGGGAAGGCATGCCCATGATCCCCATTTCAGAGAAGAGAGGTGAGGCACTGCCTAAGACCACATGAAGGGTCTGAAGTAGAAGTTAAGCTTTATTGCTTTGACTCTGGTTGAAGTTCTTTACAGGCCTTTCTTTACATTTCACACACACACACACACACACACACACACACACACACACACACACAGACACACGTTTAACTTCATCTGGTTCTTTCCATTTCCCAAAATCTAATTCCTGACGGATGAGATATTTAAATGTTTACTGAGGACCAACTGCAAGACATTGTGCTTGGTACCGTCCCCTACAGATGCCAGTAGGGCAGCCCTTGTGCCCTTGCCTGCACCTCACAGAGGTCAGGAGGGCTGCTGGAGCAGGTGGCAGGGCCCACTTGCTGTAAATGAAAGCCTTCCCCAGCAGGATGAGTCTGTTCTGAAGCCAAGGGGCCACTGGCCTCCAGAGCATCTGTGTGGGAGAGGGTGGGGTCCTGAGAGGAATACTCAGGTAGGAATCCAGGAGACCTGTGACTTGGGCAAATTACTCCACTTTCCTGGGACTCCTGCTCATCTATAATAGAAGGTCAGGTCCAATGCAGAGGACTTTAAGGGCAAGTATCATATACTTCCGGACTTCAAATAATTAAATAATGAAAGTCAGCATTTATTGAGCATTTGTGCTGAGGCCTAGTGTTTTACTCCTAATCTAATTTCATTCTTACCTCAACTCCTTAAGGTAGACAGAGTGATTTCAGTTTCAAGAAACGTGCTCAGGGTCACACAGACAGTAAGTGGTGCAACTGAACCCAGGCTTGTCTCTACAACAAAACCTGTAACACTGTTCTATACATACATGTATGCATACACACTTGTATCTTAAGCCTTGATTTTGTACATCTACAGTACTCTGTCTTTTTTTTTTTTTTTTTTTTGAGATGGAGTCTCAATCTGTTGCCAGACTGGAATGCAGTGGCGTGATCTCGGCTCACTGCAACCTCCGCCTCCTGGGTTCAAGTGATTCTCCTACCTCAGCCTCCTGAGTAGCTGGGACTACAGACGTGCGCCACCACACCCAGCTAACTTTTGTATTTTTAGTAGAGACAGGGTTACACCATGTTGGCCAGGATGTTCTCAATCTCTTGACCTTGTGATCTACCCGCTTCAGCCTCCCAGAGTACTGGGATTAAAGGCCTGAGCCACCGAGCCTGGCCCCTATTGTCGTAAAATAATCATTTTGGGAAACACATTGTTTCTGGCTTGAGATTCCTACTTCTGTGCTGAAACGCAAACTAGTTTGTTGCCTATATGGAGCCTTTTAATCAATCATTCCTTGAACTGTTCTACTGTTTCTACTGAAGTTACTTGCTGACTCTCTGGTCATAATTCTCTGCTTTGCATTTTCAGGTCATTAAAACACCAATGACCAGCCAGAAGACATTTGAATCTTTGGTAGACTTTACCAAAACCCTAGGAAAGCATCCTGTTTCTTGCAAGGTAAGAGTATGGGTAGCTTGGAAAGAAGGTAGTTGTTTTCTTCTTAGAACCTGACTTAGTAGACTGATGTGAGAGAAGGAGCATTGGTTACTGCAAGCCCGTCTACGTGCTGCAAAGAGCAGGCTATGCTTCCTGTTCTAGTTTGCAGACAGGGAAAGTGGACCCCTAAACCATGCCTAAGGCCATCAGGTGGGCAGTCTGAGACCTGAATGGAGCTCAGGACTCCAGCTAAGCAGAAGACATGGGTCTGCTCTCTGGGTCCTGGCTTTTGTCTCCCGATGAATGGCTGTATTTTCATAAATGGTTTGGTTGCCCAATCAGCTTTAACTTCCTTTGGGCCAATGGGAGTCAGAACCCTGTGTGTCAGGTTCAACCTGGTAAACACATACATCCCTAACAGAAAATGAGAGCTTTCCTTTTGGGAAAAATACTACAGATAAATAAATGATAAGACAGTAAGAAACCAACCTGCCCAAAGTGCAATAAGGAAGCTGTTTTTCACGCAAAGTTGCATTATATTTTTGTTTGTTGTTTTGTTTTTCAAGAAAGAAGCATGGTTTAGTGGGAAGCCTGCTTGACCTCCAGCTTTTTTCCCTCTTTCTTAAGCTATTGTTTATTGTATGTAAAATAATCCCAGTTGCTGAAATGATAACCTGCCTGAAGGTAATTATTTTTATTACCTTCAGTTTCTCTATTTGCTTTTGTTCCTCTTTAGTTCCCCCAATATCTGGGAACTACACCTATGCATGCAGTTTTTCTAAAGGGATAGTTGTGTCACGAGATGCTACACCATTATAAAGATTTACATATAAGTCATTTACTTTCCTTTTTTACCATAATCCTTTATATCATTATAGTTCTTCTCATAGCATACTTTTGCTTTCTAAAATATTCTCGAGTTTGAACTCACAGTACTGTACTAACCCATGAAAAATCATGTTGTTCATGAATCATCTGAAGAAGCCATCTGTTAAGGTGGACTCCAGCAGCCAAAGAGAGCAGACTTGTGTGTCCTGCTCCTCCCCGTCTGTGGGTAAAATGTTGCTAGGGAGTGTCATGTCTTAACACCCATTTTTTGTTGGTTTAGTTCTGTGGTTTTAAGTCATCTAGATTTTTAACATCATATATTAAGAAGTGGATGTTATGATTGTACTTTCTTACCCAATTATGCTTTGTTAGTGGAAGAAATTAATAATAGTATTGAAAAGAACATCAGTGCAAGACAAAAAGATATGGAAATGGAAGTACAGGGAATAGCTAATGATTATCTTCAGCAGCATACTCATTAATTCACAAAGTGATGATTCGTCTTCCATCAGAATGGCCATGGCAGCTGCAGAGGTGGGAACTCTTTGTTCTCATAAAATTGTCCATGTTAGGTCATTCCAAAACTCTTTCTCTGTGTGATATCTTAAGGGCTTTCAGAGGGACTTTCTGGGTCATTTATAGAAGCTCTTGATGAGTCATTCGGACAGTATATGACAACCACATAGGACAAGGGTCAGCAAACTTCTGTAAAAGACTGGATAGTGAATATTTTTGTCATATAGTCTCTGTTGCAAGTACTCAGTTCTATTGTTGTAGCATAAAAAGAGCCATAGACAGCATATGTAGCGTGAGTGTGGCTGTGCTCCAGTAAAACTTGACTTACAAAAACAGGCTGCAGGCTGGATTTGGCCTACAGTATTGTAGTTTACCAATATGTGACATGGAAGAGGGACATTCATGTGCCTGGAATGTGCCTTCCTAGTTGAGTTATGAGGAGATTGTGGTATAAAGGTTAAGGGTATGACCTAACCTAGCTGGATTCAAATCCTGGCACCGGCACTTATTAGCTGTGTAACGTTAGGCAAGCTACTTAACCTTGCTGTGCCTCAGTGTCCTCATGCCTCACATAGGATAATCATAGTACCTGTCTCACAGGGTTATTATGAGGAATGAAAAAATTAATATTTTTAAAGTATTTAAAACAGTACCTGGCACATAGTAAGTAAATATAATGTGTTTAATAAATAAGAATCTGAAAAAATATAATGGATTTGGTTACATAAAATAAAATTGCTTTATTTAAAGATTATGTTTCCTGCCAGGCACAGTGCCTCATACCCATAATCCCAGCACTTTCAGAGGCCAAGCCAGGTGGATCACTTAAGCCCAGGAGTTCGAGACCAGCCTGGGCAACATGGCAAAATCCCTCTCTACGAAAAAATACAAAAAAAAAAAAAAAAAAAAATAGCTGGGCATGTGGTCCTAGCTACTTGGGAGGCTGAGGTGGGAGGGTCACTTGAGCCCAGGAAGTGGAGACTGCAGTGAGCTGAGATCACACCACTGCACTCCAGCCTGGGCAGCAGAGCAAGACTCTGTCTCAAAACGAAAAAAAAAAAAAGACTATGTCTCTTCAGATTCCACCAATATCCTAAGAGTATCTGTCTCTCTGCATTCTCAATAGCATCAAATATTATTACAACGAGGGAAAAAAACTTTGATAATCTTATTAACAAAAATGCGTATTTCTTTGATTACTAGTGAGTTTAATTTTTTCTTTTTTTTTTTTTTTTTCTTTTTGAGACAGAGTCTTACTTTGTCTCCCATGCTGGAGTGCAGTGGCACAGTCTTGGCTCACTGCAACCTCCACCTCCTGGGTTTAAGCTATTCTTTTGCCTCCACCACCCAAGTAGCTGGGACTACAGGCACATGCCACCACATCCAGCTAATTTTTGTATTTTTAGTAGAGAGGGGGTTCCACTATGTTGGCCAGGCTAGTCTTGAACTCCTGACCTCATGATCCTCCCACCTTGGCCTCCCAAAGTGCTGGGATTACAGGTGTGAGCCACTGTGCCTGCTCAGTGTGTTTAAATATTTATTGAGTCTTGGCACTTTTTTCTATTGAGCTCTATGAGCTCTTTCTGTAGAAGATATTAACTATGCTAATTGGAGCAAATGTTTTTCTCAGGCTGCTTTCTGACTGTGACCTTATCTGTGGTGTACCTCATGTTCTTAGGTACCCTATCTTGAGTTTCTGTAGTGAACCTTTTGAAGCTGAAAAGAGTATCTTTGCCTCAATTATACAATCAGTATTTTTCCATAATCTTGATTAAGCTGATAAAACTTGTTTGTGCATCTTTGTGCTTGTGTGGCGATAGATGGGGTTGAGGCTTGGTTTCAGCTTGCCCAAGGTTAAAGGAGGTTCACATTGTTTGCGTTACTTTCCAGTTTCCCCGCATGCAGTCAGGTTAGCTCTGTGAGGAGTGCATGGTCATCTATAATTCAGACATTAAGGGAGTGCCTGGTGTGTGCTAGAACCAGAATGCACAGCTCGGGCCAGGGTGAGGATTTCTGCCCTCAGGAGGATGACAGCCTTTTGACAAAAGAGGAGGCACCATTTGCCTTTGGAAATAAGCTTCAACAAAAAATCCCCTGTCTATTTTTCTCTAAAATTCCCCAGAAGAGATCACTAGATAAAATCCAAATCTCACACCTGTCTTCCGGAAAGATGGTTAATATTAGTTGCTGGGAAGGGAAATGGATGAAGGGGGTGTGTGGCACAGGGGTCACCCCAGGATGTAGAGGTCTTAGGGGGTGTGGCGTGTAAGCCCAGCTTTCTGCCAGGAACTCTGCTCCTTTGTCCCAGCACCTGCTCCCAACTCAGATCTGCTGCACTGTGCACTGGAACCTGAGAAGATGCTGAGTAGCCTAGGAGTGGCTCCAAGGAGCCTGGAAAGCAGTGCTCCTTTGAGGACTGTTCAAGATGGAATGTGATGTTTATAGATTCTTGAAAGGGAAGTGGGAGGAAAGAGCAGGAGGAAAGGGGCTACCATTTGAGTATAGGGCTGTGTGTACAGCATTTTATGTGTTTTCTGATTTATCTTCACAACTTTGAGACAGAAACTGTCACCCTCAATTCACAGAGGATGAAACTGAAGTTCAAAGCAGCAGAAGGATGAAGAGAGTATTCAAGATTGAGCCCAAATCTGCCTGTCCCAGAGCCATGCTCTTCCAGGTGACCCCTGTGCCTTGATCTGCCTTTATGTCAGGATCTGTGCAGTGGGGCATCTGGGCTTGAATATTTTTTAAGTACTATGATTGTTGGATAAATTGCCATATGAGATAGAAATAAGGTTGCGCTGCAAATTTTGAAAACGTACAGCTTGATAAATGGGGGCAAACGTGATCCAGGGTAAGAAGGGGCGATTTGGTGACTTTACAAAAGATACCATTTCATGAAAGTGTACTAGTTTTTTGTTTTTCTCTCCCAAAACAGGACACTCCTGGGTTTGTTGTGAACCGCCTCCTGGTTCCATACCTCATGGAAGCAATCAGGCTGTATGAACGAGGTACCCTTCCTGACCCAGGCCAGGAGGAGCAGGCCACAGCTTCTGGCACCCCTGTCTGGAATTCTTGGTGTCTCTGGGAGGGGTTGGGCCATGCAGAGTGGAAGAAGCAGTGTCTGTTTTCTAGCTATGTGAGCTCAGCTGCATCCGGGGCCCTAGTACCTGTTTCACAGTTTGCCCAAAGCCTCCTGGCTTCCCTGTGAGGCCTCTGAGAAGGGGTTCTAGAACTCCCACCACCCGCCCTACAGTCCCAGCCAGAGCAATTGCACGGCCGGCCCAGATTTATATCCTGGATCTCTGTTTTTGATTAAAAGATTTACTGCTTTTAAAAATAATCATCATGTAAAAATTACTAGGCTAGGGGATCTTGGAAGTTCCTTCATGTTCTAAAACTTGTGACTGACAGGTGATGAGAAATATGTGACAAGGCCGAAATATGTTAAGAACAGTTTTTAGCAGTCTTGTGTCTGTCCTTACTGAATGATGCCATGATGTACTTTTTGTAACCTTAAGAATGGTCTAAACCTTTTTCCTCAATACTTGATTGACAAAGAATGCTTTTCTCTGCTGTAGAGATAACGGGCTTGGGACAGGGTCCAGTTTTCTAAATTGATCAGCATCCTCCTGCCTGCTTTCCCTCCCTGGTTTCTGGAAAGGTAGCTATCATGTCTGCTTCAAAGGCAAACAACCCTTAATAGGACTGGATAAAAAGCAAGTGTAATTGTTTTCAATAACTTCATTCATAAATGCTCACTCCCGAGAGTGTCATTTTTGAAACAAAACATTTACACCAGCTCTTCCAGAGAGATGAAAGCACATTTGCTTCCTCAAAATCTGCTTTAAATATTAAAACTTTTATCTATGGTTTATGGGAGCAATTGCCTCACTTTTGCTCCAAGATCAAACCAACACTTCTCTGTTTATCTATCAACAAATATGCCTAATTACACCTCAAAGAAGGCACAGAGCTACCTTGAAAGGCAGTTGTATGTGTGTGTGTGTGTTTTTTAACAAAATGTAATGTTTTAGAATGTAGCATGTGAGAGATCCACCTCTTAATGGTGTTTTCCTTGCTGTCCCTTTGATACATTCTCCACTGTACCAAGTATCAGATGGTAAGTTGAAAGCCCTCTTCTTGGCTAAGGTCCCTTTTTGTACAGGTGGATGCCCTTTGGCCCTCACCATCTCCTGCCACCTGTGCGGTGAAGCTGGAAGGGGACGACCTGGCCTCTGGACATGCTCTTAGCTTGCTGTGGGCATGGGCTTTGAAAGCCTGCCATTGCTGGTCCCTCTGCTTCTTTTTCCACCTCCTTCTCACAATCTGCTTCTGAAGGAGCTGGGTATCCTGCCTGGGGTGGGTGCTGCTTCCGCACTGCACAGTATGGTCACACCCCAGACCTCTCACCATGTCTCTGTGCCGACCCCCTGCTCCCTCCTCTCAGCCAGCACAGAGGAGTGTTCAGAGCATGCCCACCACACCGTCTCCCTCCTGCAGTTCCACCTTGAAGCTTCAAGCATCTGGAGGCCCCCTCTCTTGTCTGCCACATCTGTTCATCACTTTTGATTCCTTCCTGTTATGCCTGTTCCACCTCTTCATCCCAGCTTCTCCCCATCCTAGTCAGGCTGCCTTCATGAAGTTCCTCAGGCAGCAGAGGAATTCACACTACTCATGTCTTTTCCAGACTGGTCTCCACTACGCACTTATTGAGAAAGTATCATGTTGTCCAGGAAGTTGAGACGCCTACTGCATCTGCCCACACGCCCCTGCACAGCCTCAGCAGACGCTCTGTGACTGTTTCTGTACTCGTGCAGGGAGAACGTTTCTGTACCACACTGTTGATATACCTGGGGCTCCACACACATGATTTGGCCAATGCTGCCTGGAGTGGTGCAGGCTCACTGTGTGGGCTGTCGTTGGTCAGGCCTCCTGGATGACCGGCCCCTGCCACCAGCACTTCTTGCCTTTCCCCATGGGATCTCATGGAGGCTCATGCCCTTTTTCTCTGCTGTTTGACCACTCATCCTAGCTACCATGTTGTGCCTTCTTTCCCAGTGTCCCAGCTCTGCCCTCACTCTTCCTGTTGCTCTTGTTCCTTCATACTATGACTGAGGCCTGATGTATGCCCCAGTCACTGTCACTCCTGTGGATCAGAGGGACAGAGGCTGGATAGGCTGTGCCTGACAGTAAACCACTGCCCTTGTCAGGCACCCATTCCTAATGGCCAGTGTGGGCAGGGTGGTGGGGCTGAATGGTCAGCTCTTGGGAGAACCATAGCCTCCCCCTCAGTCACCACATGACATCCCGCTCGCATTGTCGCCCCTGCTCAAGCCAGGTCAATGGTTCTCTGGTGACCTGCCATAAACAAGCTCTGCCAGAGAGCCTTCCTTCTGACCACCCTCTGCCCCTGCTGTCACCACTGCAGACTCTACTCCTGCCATCCCCACATGGCCCACCTGAGTGTCTGCAGAGCTCCCAGCTGGATGTCATCTCTGTCATCACACCTCTTCCTGCTTTGGCTCTCCCCTGGGTCACTTGTCACTGTCTTCCCTGTGACATGGCAGGTGTTTTCTTTTCCTTACTGTACTCTCCTTTCTGGAGCACTCTCTGGGTCCTTCTCATCTTCATATGCCCCAAGGTGCCTGGGTAGGACGGGCACATAGGCAGCTGCTGATGAGTAAAAGTGCTGTTTCTGAGTTGTTGCTGGACACCTCTGTTGTTCATGCTAAGAATGGTTGGCAGGTGGTGCTGCTGAGCCAGCCAAAGAAGAGATGTTGGGCAAGTCCCAGGCCCTCAGCTGTGCTGATCTGGAGTTCACTGAGGAAGCTATCCTTTGCTGTCTTGTCTGGAGTTATGGGCTCTTAACCAGAGGGAGTGGGAGAGGGTATCCCATGAACCTCCTAAGATTGATAAAGAATTTGGGGTCTATGTGCATTTTTTATGGAGAAGGTATCCAATTGTCAGAGAAGTACTTGATTCTGAAGAAGTTTAGGAATTATTGGTCTAAAACATGATTCCACAGCTAACTCTCACTTGGTACACCAATCTCTGTATTTGATTTCTCTCATTCTGTAAGTTTTCCTCTTTTATTCTGCATTATTAAGAACAGGATTTTTAGAGTTGTGCTGACTTTGTAGAGTTATTTAGATATTTTTCTATCATGTGCTGTATCTTCATATTATTTCTTCAAATAAAACAGTCCTCAAGTGAGTCTCTGGATCTGGAATTATAGCCTTGCTTCTAGGGTTCACTGTCCTGTCCTTGAATATAGATTTCATTAAATGGCTTTAGCTGAGTTATAACCATTATGCTGTCAGATTTCTGTCCCATAATAAATAAACCAGCACATGAGCATGTTAGGTTGTGATAAGTAATTGTGGAGAAGAGGATAGTAAAGTCAGAAGATAGCAAGTCTTGTCCTGGCCTTTTTTTTTTTTGGTGCTAGGAGTTGCTTTTTTTATATGAGGGAGGAGAAGAGACTCTGAAAGGTGACAACTGAGCAGAGGCCTGGAGGAAGTGAGCAACTGAGCCCCAAAGCTGTCTGAGGGCGGTGCCCTAGGCACAAGGAGTATATCTCAAGCCCTGAGGAGCCTACAAGGCCGGTACTTCCAGCATTCCAGGGCTCTACTAGTACAGAAGCCACGGGCCTTCCTAATGAAATCCTCTGACTGGAATCCAACTTTAAGCTTCATAGCCATACCCCAAAGATGCTGTTTTCCTTCCCATTCCTGACTCTGCGTGTGCTGTTCTCTCTACCTAGAATGCCCTTCCTGGTCTGCTCATCTCAGGATTCTCTTCACCTTTTAGGACCCAGGCATGGGGGTGGTTTTGGTGAAGCCCTGGAGATGTGAGTAAATCTCTCCATCTCTGCCCACACAGAGCTGTGTGAATCGTGAATCTTCATGTCTTGTTATGTTGAAGCTTTTGGCTTACACGTCTGAGTTCTCCCATTATATCATGAGTACCCTGAATGCTTGTCTTGTTTCTCTTTATCTTATTCTACATCTCTAGTGCCTGTTACGTAATAAATAGAAGTTGAATGAATGAATGAATGAATGAGGCTGCCTATATGATTATTTTTGTTTCTTTGCTTTCTTTCTTTTCTTTTTTTTTTTTTTTTGAGATGGAGTTTTGCTCGTTACCCAGGCTGGAGTGCAATGGCGCAATCTCGGCTCACCTCTACCTCCTGGGTTCAGGCAATTCTCCTGCCTCAGCCTCCTGAGTAGCTGGGATTATAGGCATGTGCCACTGTGCCCAGCTAATGTTTTGTATTTTTAGTAGAGATGGGGTTTCACCATGTTGACCAGGATGGTCTTGATCTCTTGACCTCGTGATCCACCCACCTCGGCCTCCCAAAGTGCTGGGATTACAGTTGTGAGCCACTACACCCGGCCTGTTTCTTTGCTTTCTTATGGCCTAAAACTCAACTCATGATTTCTCAGGAGTCTCTAATCCTAAGTAGTGTAGTTATTAGTAACGTCAACCATAATAAATAATTGAGTCGTCTTTTAATCACCTTAAAATGCCTTGAAATTCTTTGGCATAACTTTAGTACTTTACATGGTTTTTAAAAATATTGTCTTTATCAGTTTTGAAGTAGTTTCTCTCTGAATGTCTTCACATTTTCCCCATTTTTCTTTAGCTTTGGTCTGATTGGCTTCTTTATGCTTTGGAGCAAAATTCTACATAGCCACTTGTTGCAGACTGTTCTACTTTAAGGGAACAGGTTGGTCTCTGCAAGGCCTCTTGGGGCCAAAGGACATAGTACGAATACATTTCCAAGGGAAAAGCACATTGATCCTTGTCTTAGTCTACTTAATATACTTCCAAACATGTATGGTAGTTCTAACTTGGGTTTGGGCTTTTCTTTAAAAGGTATCTTGACTAATAGGTTTGTGTGAATGTGTCAGGGGAATTCTCCTTACTTGTAAAACCCAAAAAGCTGGGGAAAAAATATACATACAGTAACTATACATAAAAAGCAGAAAGCTTAGTTTTCTTTTTTAAGAAAATTTATTTATAAATCAAAAGTATGCTCTTAGCATTAAGTGATATTTTAATAAATAATTCTAGAGTTGGAAAACCCCAATTTATTTGAAAATAACTGAAGTTTCCAGGCATGGAGGCCTCTGTCTCCATGAACAGGGTATCAGTACTCCAGAATTCACCTAAGTGATGCAGTAGCTTTGAAAATCTTAGGCTGGCCACTGTGGCTCACACCTGTAATCTCAGCACTTTGGGAAGCTGAGGCAGGAGGATCACTTAAGGTCAGGAATTCAAGATCAGCCTGGTCAACATAATGAAACCCTGTCTATACTAAAAATAAAAATATTAGCCGGGTGTGGTGGCACACACCTGTAGTCCCAGCCACTCAGGAGGCTGATGCAGGAGAATCACTTGCACCCAGGAGGTGGAGGTTGTAGTGAGCGAAGATTGTGCCACTGCACTTCAGCCTGAATGACAGAGCAAGACTGTCTCAAAAAACAAAAACAAACAAACAAAAAACTTAAGATCTATTTGGCATGTACTTTAGAGACAAAATTTTACCCAAGTTAGAAATTCTCACTCTAGACATTTTTTGAATGTGCAGCATATAACATTCTAGTAATTCCAGGGCTAACCCTGTGATAGGGAGAATTCAAGGAAAGGTGGTGGTGACCCAGTGCTGCCCTTTTCTCTTTAGGTGATGCATCCAAAGAAGACATTGACACTGCTATGAAGTTAGGAGCTGGTTACCCCATGGGCCCATTTGAGCTTCTAGATTATGTCGGGCTGGATACTACGAAGTTCATCGTAGATGGTAGGAATTGGAATTCTTTGTTGTCTTTAATTGAGTTGAGGTCGTTTTTAAATTATCATGCCTTTTTAAAACAGAAGTTAGCATAGGTCTTAGCAAAGACCTTCCAAAATCCTGCCTCACCAGGTTGAGGATTCATGAACAGATGGCAGGAGAAGGAAGAATGTAACTGTCTAGTATCTCTTAACAGGGTAACCTTTAAAAAACAACAACAACTTTATGGATTCACAAAAAGCTACAAATATAGCACAGACAGGTCTGTGTTATTTTATCACATACATTGATTTGTGTAACCTCCATTGCAAGCAAGATACACATCCATTTTTAAAAATATCCATTGTAATGTAACAGCTCTGAAGACAGTATATATAATGAAACTGGACTACTGAAGTTGAATGTAGCTATCTATTCCCAAGTTTAACAGAATGCTAGTTGAAGAATGAAATTTTGAATATTATGTGGATGCAAAATACCAATAGCAGGAATTCATATTTTTAAACATGCATTCTGAAAGTTAACTGTGCCACTGGTGAATCCAACCAGCAAACGAATGGCTTCTGGTAGTGTACCTGGGCCTTTGGCCTTAGTGATTTCTGGAAAGACACTGGATAAACAGGAGGGCCTGGAGTAGGGCCAGGCTTCAGGCAGCACAGGTGGGTGGCAGTGCAGCAGCTTTGGGGCTGATGTGGCCGCACCAGCACAGCCTGCCTGAGTTGCTCTCGCACATCAGAGGCAGGCCTCCAGACTCATCCTTGGGAATGCCAAAGTGTAAAAGTAAACCCAGCACTTTATCCTGAGTTCTTTCCCCTCCTCTCAATAGGGTGGCATGAAATAGATGCGAAGAACCCATTGTTTCAGCCCAGCCCATCTTTGAATAAGCTGGTAACAGAGAACAAGTTGGGCAAGAAGACTGGAGAAGGATTTTACAAATACAAATGATGCTCAACTTCTCCGGCTCTGAGAAGAAGCCCTGAGAGCGCTCACCAGCCAGCACCCGAGTGCCTGCGGGAATGCTCTGGTCAGATGTTCCCTCACACAGCACAGTCTAATCAATGTGCATTTTGATTGTAATCTAGCTGAAGTGATTATTACACCAATTACAGCAGTAATAGATTCTCTATTAAGAACTAATTTTCTTTTTTAGTCTGTTCATTTCTGTGTATTTTCTAAACAGCTTTACACCCTTGGTGCCTTGGAGCAAACATTTTTTTTGAGCCTTGTCATTTTTGTGAAGAATTGCTTGGATTGGTTCTTTCATCAAGGGGAAGTACTTCCTGTGACAGTGCAAGTACACCGTGTTCACTGTTGCTGCGTGGGAGAGTCACAAGCCACTGGCACACACCTGGTGTGTCTAAAGCACTACAGCGAGCAGCACCTAGATCTTGCCTTTATAAGAACATTTTACTACCTGCAGCTTTGAGCCTTGCCCTGCATTCTGGACACGACATAAGATATTGTGTCTTTATTCAGCTCATCGTCAAGATGCTGCTGCTGGATGGGTCGGCGTGTCTCTGTGTGCATGGTTTGCAGGAGGAGGTCGGTTTCCATGGTCATTCAGTTCCACACATCTTAATGATTACTGTCTGTCTGTGTCTTTTTTCCACGAGAAATCACTGTTGCAAATTGCCTATAAAAATTGACTCTACTAAAATACGATGTTTTAGTCTGTGAAAATTTGAATTGAAAAAAGTTGTATAATATAAAATTGTAATACACTCAAATGATTATAAAAGTAAAAAGTTGATAATTTAGGCAGAAACTCTTTCCCATCTTCTTTGGCCTGCTATTAATTTTTGAAGTGGGAGCGACGGGGAGGGAATGGCAGGCGAAGGCATTTGTGTGAAACCTGCCTGTGGCCGTCGCTGCCAGATTTCTTACCAGGAAAGCAGTAGTGAGGGTACAGAGAACAATTTTTAAGGAACATCTGTTTCTTCTTTGCCAACAAAGTGAAATTGTGTAACTTAAGCTTCTTTTAATCATTGGCTTGAGAAAGTGTCTTCCAAGATAGAATTTTAGAGTTGGAAAGAGATCAGAAATCCTGAGGTCCAGTAGCCTCATTAGCGGAAAGCTTAAGTGATATGCCCAAAAGCTCAGATATTTTGTAGCAGAGCCTCGCCTAGAACTAGGTTTTGATAAAATGAAATACAAAATAGCCCATTTGAAAATCTTAGACCCACACTTTCAGTTAGGACTCTCCCTAAAATGGGCGTCCTTGTTTGTTGTCCTTGATCATAGTTCTAATAGTTGAGAGATTTTATTTTCTTCATTTTATGACTGATAAAAGGGAACTTATTAATTTAAAAAAAATTGAATCTATAGCATAGTGTGAAAATAAATACATTGGTACATTTCTACCACACACAGAACCTGAGTAGGACACATTTTTAGATTATTCTTATAAAACCCTGCCTAACGAACAAAAGGAAGCACCTGTGAGGCCACCCGCATTTCCATTGCTAAAGGTTACCCTTGTGGTCTGGCAGCTCCCTGCTTTTTCTGAGGCTGGCTCTTGACCTTTGACATGAGGCCTGGGTCTAAGAGGGGGCCTCACTTCCTTACTGTCTCACCAGACTCCCCATAGGATGCAGGTCCTTGTCCTGGAAATGGCAGGATTCTTCCTTGATTACTGAATTCGAGGAAAGATGTAACTCAGCAGTGCAACCATGAGTCTGCCAGGATGAGAGGGTGGGGGCTGCAGCAGTCTTTCTGGCTGGTGTTTTAAAATGCTCTTGAAGCCTACCAAATAGTCAGAAGGGCTGGCCTCTCAGCATCCTTTTATCGTTTTCAAAAAATATTTTCCATGCACCATATTTGGGAGTAGGAAGGGATATTGAACATCCTTTCCTTAGACCTGGGAGGTGAGGGAGTGGCTTTTCTTTTCCGACTCCACGTCTCTGTGTTCTCAGGTGAATGTAGCTGCTTGCCATGGAGAGCTCTTGGGGTGGCGGGGGAAGGAAGGTCATGTCTGTCAGGTTCTCTACTTCCAAATATAGGCCTGCTGCTGCCATTTGCTTCAGCCTGTAGTTGGGAAATGAGGCTTAGTGAGAACCCCAGGTGCCTTGCATCATCCTCCACTGTGTTTTGGGAGCATTTGTTCAAGAGAGAAGGTGGGTCCTGTCAGTGCTGCTGGGTCTGGCGTCACCACTCTTGGTTCTCCTCACCTCCCCAGATTTGCCTCCTAACCATCATACATCTTTTATGACATTTGAAAGTCAGGAACAAGTTTTAGGTCAAGAGGATACTTTTTTTTGAGACAGAGTTTCACTATTGTTGCCCAGGCTGGAGTGCAATGGCGCAATCACGGCTCACTGCAACCTCCACCTCCCAGGTTCAAGTGATGCTCCTGCTTCAGCCTCCCGAGTAGCTGGGATTGCAGGCATGTGCCACTGCGCCCAGCTAATTTTGTATTTTTAGTAGAGACTAAAATGTTGATCAGGCTGGTCTCGAACTCCTGACCTCAGGTGATCCACCTGTCTCAGCTTCCCAAAGTGCTGGGATTACAGATGTGAGCCACCACGCCCAGCCAAGAGGATACTTTTTTTTTTCCTGTACTTCCTCTTAGTGATATTTTTATTCATCTATAATATAAGTGAAAGTTTGATATTAAAAAGAAAACCAGGCAGTGTATGAGATGACTTGCTGAAAAAGACAGTGCGCCTCTGAGCATAGCCATCACCTGTACTTCAATTGTTTAGTAAAACGGAGTTCTCTGAAGGATCGTGTTAACGCTTACTAAGATGTCATTGTAAAATAAAATTCATGGCCCTTTAATGTTCTTAAGATTCACTGTTAGTAGTAGTTTTTCAGGGGGAAAATGACCGGTTAAGTTTTTCTGACATTAGTCGTAAAGTGTATGTCACTTTACGGAACTGTGCCGTGGGTCCTGTCAGTGGGAACTGTGCTGTGATGCAGCGCGGGGTAAGATGGGACCAGGTCTTGGAACTGGGAAACTACCATTTACAAATCCGGTGTTAGAAAATGCCTCTCCACTGGGTACCATTGTATAGTACGTTTTTCACCAACACGTCAGCTTTCAGAAAGGCATTTGAGATTCAACCAGTCATCACTGGAGAGGGCCACTATGTTCATCATGGTTATATAACAACATACACTCATCATGCTTTCTCTTTGTGAGTTGTACTGTTCACGTATTTGAAATAAGCTTTTGTCTTGTCCCACCTTGATTTTAATCCCTTTAACATTTCAACCTAAGTAACTCATTAAGTCTACCAAAAATACAAGGTGTGGCTGTAATTTTATGAGACTAATTTTCTTGTAAACAGGCATTGATGCTACATAAATAGTAATCTGAAAAAAAAAATGCTTTGAACAGTGAAATCATGGCTGTGCTTTCAGTACTACACTTTGAAAGAACCCATTTGGCTGTGTAAATTCAATTTTTTAAATTGATCTCAGTGTTTCATCATCACAGTTTTAACACCTATTTTAGCATATTGTTCTTGCTACTATTTGACACGGCAGAACAAAACTCCTGAAAGGCAGAGAATCCTTTCATTGATACTGATATTATTCAATGTTTTAGTGAAAATCATTAACTGTAGCTGCTGCAGGATTAACCAGTACAACTAATTGTCAGCTTGGGCTTTGAAATTAAACCGACTTGGGTTCTAGTTCTCAGTTCCACTGTCTTTACCTGTGTAACCTCGAGAAGTTGTTTGTTTTCTGGGTGTGTCTGGAAGAATGAGCATAAGGATGGAACCTATGCCATAGGGACGGAGTGAAGCAGGTTTCAAGTGCTGAGCACACTGGCTTGCATCTATAAGCCAATTGTAAAGGAAGGCCCAGTAACCTGTGTTCACTAGGGTTACACATAACAGCCCTGAACATGTGACAGCAGTGGGGAGTAGGCTGAAGATTCAGAACAAGCCTGAGTCTTGGAAAAGTGAGTGTCAGAAGTTAAGCAGTTAGGCTACCTGGCAAAAAGCCCAGTGGTGGGCTTTTTTTTTTGGGGACAGAGTTTCACTCTTGTTGCCCAGGCTGGAGTGGGCACTCTTGCTACCCCACAGCTCCTCTGGAAGGTCTTCCCACACTTTCAGAGAGGCGCTGGTTGAGGCTAGTCAGAAAGGGGTGGCTGTCACTCAGGTATGCTACATGTTGGGTGTGAGCAGTAGACTGGATGATTTAAGACCCCAGAAAAACAGCAAGTATGTAGGAGGGAAGTTCCCAAGATTCTCCTAACACATGATAATTAGAGAAGTGGTGGCATCTGAACAGGAGCAGAATGATGCTTCACTCTATCATAATGTAGTTTTATTTGTTTATTCATTTGAGATGGAGTCTTGCTCTGTCACCTAGGCTGGAGTACAGTGATGCGATCTTGGCTCACTGCAACCTCCACCTCTTGGGTTCAAGCAATTCTTCTGCCTCAGCCCCCCAGTAGCTGGGATTACAAGCTCCCACCACCACACCTAGATAATTTTTTAATTTTCAGTAGAGATGGGGTTTCACCTTGTTGGCCAGGCTGAAACTCCTGATCTCAGTGGTCCACCTGCCTTGGCCTCCCAAAGTGCTAGGATTACAGGCATGAGCCGTCATGCCTGGCCTGTAACATAGTTTTAAATGACATTGGTGACTCCTAAAGATTTCTTCAGAACAAAATTGCGGGAGTGAATCCCGACTAGGTCTATTATTTAGCAAAGGGAGCAATAGGATAGCCCCTAGGGTTGAAACAAATTCAAGCTGCTCTTGATTCATCATCAAGGAGGGGAGAGGATACCATAGTTAACTTAAACAATAGTTGGTCAAGCTGGGTGTGGTGGCGCATACGTGTAATACCAGGTACTTGAGGCAACGTAGCAAGACCCCATCTCTTAGAAAAAAATTAGTCTGTCAAGGTAGAACTGTTGGATGGCAGAGTAGCAATGCAGGCCTTCATGGTATCGATAAACTTCACCAAGACACCTCAGCCTCACTTCTATAGATGCAGCTACTGGAATATTCTACCAGAAAATGTAGTCTGTTCTCAGGCAAGCAGGTATAATAAGAACTCTGCCCTTGCTACCTGCTCTTGAACAGCCACTTGAACTCTTCACCCAGATTGCAGGTGTAGAAGACAGGAAACTGGGATGCCTCTAAAACTAGTAGTGAGGGAGAATGGCATTTTTGAAATGGAATTTTCTACTTGAGGCAGTTTCAATGGCTCCCAACTGCCTCGTTCCGGAGCTGTGTGGAGGTTTTGGTATATGCTGCTGGGAAAGTAGTTTTCTGGAGCCCTTTAGCCTTAATATTCAAGTTGTAGGGAAGGGTGGGAGTGCAGCATAATCTATCCCTTCACCACACCGATTTGTAGTAGGACCAAAGGAGGTAGAATGGAAAAGGTCTGTCCAACCCGAGTCTACATGTCAGGCAGAGACTTAAGCTTACACACATTCTCTCTCTCTGTCTCTCTCTCTCTCTCTGTCTCTCTCTCTCTCTCTCTCTCTCTCTCTCTCTCTCTCTCTCTCTCTCTCTCTCTCTCTGTTTAGTCAGAGTGAACAGCACACACAGGATGCTTAAAACCAGCTACCCTTTCAGCACTCAGTCTCATGGTGGATTCTGCCATTAGCTGGCACAATGTTATCACAAGTCACAGGCCTAATGTAAGGGTATTAATACTTTTATCTTGATTCTTAAGTCTTGTGTGTGTATGTGTGCATGCACGTGTGCACCCTCACATATATCCTTTATTAAATACATCCCTTTATTAAAATAATCACAGTTAATCCCAAATGCCAGGAGAGGACAGCACATCTCATTCACGTGATTTGCAGTTTGCAGTGCCTGCCCCTTCCCATTTAACCACAGCCTCTGTGGGACTCTACACCCCATGGTCCCTGCTCACTCCTTGACATCCTCATCCCTGCCAGCTTAAGAGCTCATCACCCAGTCTGAGAGATGCTGTTCTGGGAGCAAAGGCCTGGGGAAGAACAGAGACAGTCTAAACAAATCTGAGTATAAAAGTTGCAGTGGCCCACAATGTTGTCTTTCATTCAGGTGGAAAGCACTTGAAAGTAGTGTGGTTTTTGTAAGAGCTGCCGCCTGGATGAGTTTGCACGCTCTAGGACCAGGCATTGAGGAAAGATCAGCCGCAGCTAATTGGAACCTGAGAAGCAAAGCAGGCACAGCCTGTACCAGATGCCAGCATGTGGTGAACAGATGAGATTGCTCACAAAGTACCTCTAGGCTTTGGTGAGCCCTGCAGTAAGCACTGCACAGCCCTGGCTTTGTGCAGCGCTGAAGGTTGTCTCCAGGGCTGAGTGTGGAGGGCAGACGAGACTTTAAAGCCACTGTTGCCTTGCTCCCGTTGAGCAGTGGGACCGAACTAACTTTGAAAGGACCTGTAATGACAACCAGGCCAACTTGTGGGGCTCTGTTTTACTGAGATTGCCTCGTGCATCTTCCTGTTGGGGAAAAAAATCACTATGGTATAGAATATTCAGTGATTCCACTGAGTTCAGATTCTGAGACAAGTTAAAGATGGAGAAGAGAAAATGTCTATGAATTCCACAGTGACCAGAGAGAAAACAGTTAAGATGATGTGTGATGACATCTATTTGTATGCAGTGTTTTCATTCCATCTGGCAAATAATTTTTCTACCAATTTCTCTCATTTATTTAGTGGGGATCAAAAACTTAGTTAATTTAGCTGGTAACATCTCAAGCTATTATATATGAAGAAAAATAGTTATATGAACACATCAGTGTAGATGACCCAATAAAATCCAAACTCTGCCCCTTCTGTACAAGTACTTCTGTGATCCTGACTCCAAAACAGAGTGCTTAGTCCTGTTACCAGCTGCTTCCCTGGGCAGGAGTATACTCATATGTTCTGTGGCTGCAAGGCAATACATAAACAAGGTATTTTTTGCCCTGGACAAAAAAGCATGTTTTCTAACACATTATAAAATAATTCCAGGGGAAATTAATTTGCTAGTCACTTCCTATCAGGCTTCTCTCTCCTTTGCCTCTCATATACCCTGGCAGAGGTCTGTGATACCTTAGCCCATGAGGAAGTGTGCCCAGAGGGGTTTAGAGTGCAGTTCCCAACAGCGGGTTGAGTAGACTTTGTCTAGGTCTGCAGATGCTAAACCTAGGCTTTCCCCACTGTGCCACTTTCTTCCTGATATAACCTGTTTTAAGTCCAAATTCCCATTCAGGGAAAAGGACCCTTGCACATTATAGCAAATGCAGACAGTAGGCATTTATTATATGCCTAGAGCAGACAGACAATACAAAGCATTTTTCTGGTGTCCAGTAATTTGAGCATAGCCCATCAGAAAGTGTTCAGTAAAAATGTATTGAATGAGTGCATCTATTATTAAACACCAGTTTACTGTTGATGAACAATGCCATAAACAACATTAGCACTGCTTCATCAACAAAGGCAAGCAGACAGTTATCACTTGTCTCAGGTTTTACTATAAATTATTAGTTTTAATTAACATGTATACAGTTTCAGTTTACTTTGATTCATGCTAGTGTTTAAATAGCTGCTGTTGGTATACCCTGCTTAGAGGTGTATTTGAGTCACCTTGGTACACTCTCCCTGAGTCACGCCTGGCTGCTGAGTAAAGATAATAAAGTTTTCTCAGAAGAGAGTTGAAGAAATTTAGAACAGCCACTTCCAGAATAATATGCACTGAATTATAGCTAAGAAAACCAATGATCTTATTTTTTCCCACAATACATCAGTATAAATGGCATACAGAGTGATATCCTTCTGTTAGTATGAAGATACTTAATTGCCATCAAATTTTATATTCTATTAAAAAGTAGTCCACATTTTCTTGTGTGTGTATCTTTAGAAGTTGGGTTTCACAGGGCAGCTCTTAAAGTTCTCATCCCCCATGCCTGGAAGACCACATTCTGTGGCAGAAGTGGTAAATGTGATTTTTTCAACACTACTACATCATGTGGATCTTGGGTGCCTCTTCTCTGTCAGAACTGTGCATTACTCCCTCGTGACCATTCTTTAAAAGCACAGCCACACAGACATCTTGTTATTTTTCATAGGCCCTTTATTAGAGTTTCTGTATTGTTGCAGCCTTAGACCAAACTAGAAGAAAAAATTACTGTATAATACTTAAGACAACTGTAGTCATGAAACAGTTCAAAGTCGCCTTCCAGCTAAACAGGTAGTTGCCAGCAGCCCTAGCAACCAAACTAAAATCAGGAGGAAAACACCCCTTCACAAGGACTTGCATGCCAGCTGTGACCTCAGAGAAAGCTCTGCTCCCAGAAAGAAAGCTGACCTAGCCTCTTCTTGGCACACAATTCAGCTCTTAGTTCGCTGCAGGGAAGGAGGCCAAATCCCTTCAAGATCAAACAGCAGTAGTGGCCAGAGGAGTGTCCCTCTCCCCACATACACCCCCTTTATCAATATCTCTAGGGGGACTCTTGACTCTCCCCCAGAACTGCTGCCTACAGAAAGCAGGATTTGGGCAGAATGAGCCAGGAATGAGCACTGTGCACTGACATCAAAGTTATTTGGGAAAAATTATTCTGGAAGAAATACAGGAAACTAAGAAGGAACTAAGTTTGTGGAAAGAACTGGCTGAGGGTCCAAACAACCCATTTCTTTCAACTTCACTTATTTTTTGTAAAGTTGAAAGAAATGGATTATTTGGACATGGCAGGATATAAACACCTGAGACTCAGGGCGTGGCCTCTGCACGCCAAGGGAGAGAAGAGTTGAGTGGGCTTTGGCCAAGCCTTGAGTCTCAGGTATAGATCCTGCAATGCCTGTTACCTTGATAACAGACTTTTATTATTATTATTAATTTTATTTATTTATTTTTTGAGACGGAGTTTCGCTCTTGTTATTCAGGCTGGAGTGCAATGGCGCGATCTTGGCTCACCGCAACCTCCGCCTCCTGGGTTCAGGCAATTCTCCTGCCTCAGCCTCCCAAGTAGCTGGGATTAGAGGCATGCGCCACCATGCCCAGATAATTTTTTTGTATTTTTAGTAGAGACGGGGTTTCACCATGATGACCAGGATGGTCTTGATCTCTTGACCTCGTGATCCACCCGCCTCAGCCTCCCAAAGTGCTGGGATTACAGGCCTGAGCCACTGCGCCCGGCCCAGACTTTTATTAATTGCTTTCTCTCAAGATCCAGAAGAGCCCATTCATGTGTTGGTGAAATGTTTCACTGTCACTTCCTTTATTTTGTTGGATTTTTTAGTTAACTCCCCAAAAGATCATGGTGGCAGCTTTAGACTGCTTTTAAAAACTATTTGGTTTATGCATGTTAAGAAAACTCTGAGAGAGAGAATTTTCAAATGAAGTTCTGGCGAGGGCTGAATATGAAACCTTTATAACAAGTAGGTCCCCTGAACATAATACTTATTTTTTTCCTGGTTCAAGTTTAGGACTAAATGAAGAGGAATTGGAAGGGTTCCAGAGGATAGTAATGAAAATGATTAAAGGACTGATGATGAAAGGTTCAAGGAATTGGGACTACTTAGCGTGGAGAAGAGAAATTTGAGGGGTGATTTAATGGCAATCTTCAAGTACAGTATGAGGAGGGTTATTATAAGTATGGGAGCCAGCTGTTCCCCAGCTGCACTGAAGGTTAGAAAGGGGAAATCAAACTAGAATTTCAGCAGAGAGGTTTAAGTTGGACCAGTGATCATGGTTCTCAAAGTAGCTGAAGGGATAGAAAACCATTGTGGAAGACCATGACATATTCACTTTTAAAATACAGTTTTTCCTAACCAGATACCAACTTATAACATGTACTAGTGAGGTAAAAATTATGAAATATGACTCAAGACCTAGAAAATGTTGACTGGGAAGATAGGTGGGGGTGATGACATTCCTTCACCACTGGGACCCCACGATGTGGAAGCCCAGTTTGAACACCAATGAGCTGTGAAGAGAGGCGGAACCTGCGCCCTTCCAATGAGCAGCACACCAGATGGTGGGAGCCCACAAGAATCTGTGCTCAGGAAAGGACTCACTTCCAACTGAATCCTGGCAACCCTTTTTGCCTTTAACCCTGTTTCATACCTACATCTGGAAAAGGAGGAGGAAGAGGCCCTCCCTCCCTTGTATGGTTTATACAAGAGCTTTTGAGGACTGCATGTCTAGGAGACAGGGCAGGGTGCCCCTTTATCGCTGCTGCTGGCCTGTCCCTGGAGAAGGCTGCACCCCTCTGTCATGGACTGCTCCTCTTTAAAAACCAGCTCCGTCCTGGCTTGTGGATTTAGTTCATTACCAATTTTAGGTTATCAGGAACTTCACTCTTAATAAAATGATACTTTTTAAGAATGTTTTATTACAAAGCTTCTTTTAAAAAATGCTCAGCACGTTAACTCAAACTGGAATGACAAACATTAGATGACAGTTGTGGGCAAAGGCTGTGCCTTGCTATTTAAAAAAAAATGGGTACATCGATGCTCATTTTAACAACTGGCATAAAATCCCACTAATTGGCTAATAAAAACATATACAAATACAGAACATTTAAAGTAGTAACAATTCAAGTGCTGGGCTTTTTACAACAAGGGGGTAAGAAGGAAAGAAATGAAAATTCACTGCAAACCAGTCTGCTGAATGCATCTGTTAAGGTTTACTGTTTAAAAAAAGATAAGAAAACAGAAGAAAAAATAAACTGAAACAGGGCTGCCAATGGTTACCAACAGAGTAGATTTGGCTATTACATTTATTTAGCTCTATCAAACATCTTACAAGGACGGAGAAGCCACTATTTGTTACAGGCAATTCACAGAGAAGCCACTTATTGGACAAGCTATCTCAGAAAAAGGCTTCTTTTTATTTCATTATTTCAAACTTTTCCAGACCTTTGAATTTTATTTAAAAGCTCATAGCTAGCAAAATATACAAGAAAATTAAAACTAAAAAGTGTAAATTTAAAAAATTCAAGTTTAAAAAAAAGCAAACAAACAAAAAAAACTGATCCTTTTGCACTGTTAAATAAAAGCTGTAGGAGAAAAGAAGAGAGAGAAAAATGAAGACAGAAACAAAGAGGGAACTCTTCCACGAACTCCTCCACTGGGGTGCTGATGGATGTGCTGGTTGCTGGCTCCAGTTGCGCATGGCAGGCAAATGCAGCCAAGTTACTGTCCTTGCCGAAAGGTTACCGGTTTGGATGCAAGATGCTCTGGGAAGTGCACACAGAATGAGGGGAGAAGCGCTGCTCAGCTGCCCCACAGCCTGCTAGCTTCTCATGTGCTTTTACATTTCCTTTTAAAAAATCTTTTTATGCTTTATTTTGGAACTTGGCTCTCGCAGTAGACAAAAGGGGGTTTGGCAGTGATTGTCTTTATGGATCAGCGTCTCTAGCAGTGGCCACAGGGTAAAGTTGGTGTCAGTGTTCCTTAGGGGTCGACTAGGCAGGCCGTGGAGACAGTCTGGGTTTTCAACAAGCTTCCATCTCCAGAAGAGGTCCTGGGGTCGCTGCCTTGGCTTTGCATGTCGGGAATGAGCTTCGTTTTCCACCTCAAGAAGGAACAAATGAAATGCTATTAATATGAATTTGCTGTAGGTCTTTAGATTATAACGTCTATTCCATACTGTACATATCTTATAACCTCTGCATTTAATTAATCCATTTTGTTGATTTGGGGATGGATAGCTAAAACAAACTGCTCTATGCAGCCAAAAATCCTGAGAGTATACTACAGAGTTAATATAGTGACATTTTTACTTTGGTTCCATGTATATGTATGCACAGAGTTATGATGTGAAATGTAGCTAATACTCTGGGTCATGGTAAAAAGAAAAAAAAAAGTCTGAAAAACACCAATGGGAAAGAGTCAAACAGAAACAGGGAAGGCGGCCAACAGCCAGATCAGGGAAAGATGTGTCATTCTGCAGTGTTTGGTGCTTTTAGTTCACTGTGGGAAGCCATCGTATGATTCTACATAGGACAGACATATGCACATTACACAGTGCACTGCCAGCTCCCGTGATGTTATGTGCTGTGTCCACTCATATTCACAGTCCAGGGGATATAAACCTCTCCCTTTTTGCTTAAGACTTTACAATTTTCAAGATTTTTTTTTCCTTCCTAACAGCTAGGATCTCTAATGTTAGCCTTGGAAAGGACACTCAGCAAGTATGTTAAAGTAATGTTGCCAGATATTGGTCATGATAATGATTTTCAAAAAAGAATTCCCACATCCCCAAAGGTTTAATAATCTGAGATTTTTTAAAAAAGTGATTAAAATAAAATGTAACACTGTAATAAGATGAGACAAGACAGAAGGAAAGTAAAAGCATGGCAATTCCGTTCCTCTACTACAGAGAGCACCTGCTTCCGCGGCTTTGAACTTGGGGAGGCTGCTTTCCTTTGGTGGCAGTGATGCTGGAAGCACCTTCTCAATCTGGGTCCCTGAACAGCCTCAGATGAATCCCAACTCTTTGTGCCTGTAATTGTGCTATTCATGTTACAAGCAGAAGTTTCCTTTTAGAAACTCATTCAAATAATAGTGGATTATTTATTGTACACTTCCATTTGAATGGAAAAAGAAAATAAAAGATATATAAAGGGAAGCTCTGACATAGTTTAATGATGAATACAAAACTCTGGATGGCAAGTTACGGTCCATGAAGTACTTTCCACAGAAGGATGGTGACCTATGGGATGGGAAGTGCGAGGACACCTACCCCTCGGGCTGTTGAAAGGAGAGGTTTGGCTCCTATACTTAAGGTGCTTACAAAGTGCACAGCAGAGAGGGAGCCCTGCAAGCAGGTTAGCCAGTATTTGTGTTCCAATTATGCCCAATGCTGCCCCTAAAAATGATCAAATCTGCAAAGAAGCTCTTTGTGTATCTGGGTAGCTGCTGAAAAAGCAAAAACCAACCAATCAACAAAAACAAAACAGGAGGAAATCAGACACAGAATTATTTCAACTGAGGTTTTTCGATGACCATTGCAATTCCTATTCTCTTGGGAAAATTAACCATTCATTCCCTGCTTAACAGGAAAACACTATAGCATGCTGATATTTTAACTAAACGGAGGTATGGATCCCTTACGTAGGAGGATCAAAGAGCTGTGATGGATCCTGCCTTTCCATAGAGAAAGAAACAGGGCTTTAGAGGAGCCTGGGGTGGGAGAGAGGGCACCCCACAGATTCCTATTTACATTATAAGTTTGCATCACAGATTTTCAAAGGCTTGGTCCAGGTTGCTCTTCCTGGGAAGGTTTTCCTCTCAGTCTGATATAAAAACATTTAGTTTCCTGATGAGGCCTGGCCTTGAAGTCCTAAGCTAGTGCCTGAGACAAGCATTGGGTCTCAGAGTAAACTGGCCACTGGCAGCCAGGAACGCCTGAGGGGACAACCTGTCCTTCTGTTGGGCCATCCCACCACTGCCTGGCACAGTGAACCCTGAAGTACCGAGGGTTGCACAGACAACTTCCACGGCCCTGTTGTGGCCCCATTCTCAAGCAGGGCTGCCACCTCCAATCAGCACCCTGCACTTCTGGCTCAACCAGAGTCTTCCTGTCCCTTCACTGCCTTGCCTAAGGGTGCCTTCTCCTCCTGTCTTCTTGAGCTGAGTACAAGTGGTAAAATAGTGATTAACAGAAACATGGGTGCCCAGAGATGGCCATTTACCTAAAGGATAATATGTCACTTGCCTAGAAAGAATCTGTATATCCTAATAAGGTCATTTCTTTCCATAGTCTCACATTTTCCCACCTGTTATTTTTTTATTCCACGGGGTCACCTTGCACATTCTCCTGGAAAGTTGGCTTCAGAGATCTTCTGTATAGTTGCTTACCAAAAAGCAACTAATCCCTTCCAGGGATGCTTTCCTAATAATATAACTAGTGCTTTAAAAAAAAAAAAAAAAAAAAAGAGGCAAAGAAATTCCTTCACTATCAAATGGGGCAGTTTGTCCCTGGTGGCTCTTTTAAAATTCAGGGATGTCAAGGGAGACCAAGTCTTACCTCCAAGTGGGAGAAATGGGGGCCTGGTATTGCTTTACAGATATAAAACAGGTCCAGTCCAGATTCTTTTCAAGAAACCACAGGCATGAGGCTCCAGAGGCTAGGGCTTTCCCACATCTAAGGCTTCACTGGGGGGCTGCGGCTGAAGCTGGGCCAGGCCAGGCGAGCCCCAGCACAGCCCAACCCACCAGTGAAGTCTGCGCAATCAAAGCCAGCAATTACTGTTCCCTGGCTGCGGCTGCGCTTCAAAGGGAGTGCAGCAAGGCCCATCTTACATATGTTCAGACTTGGGCTCCCTCCACCAGGAGTCACCACCCATTTGTACTGTGGATACAAAGGCAGCACAAGACCCTACCCCACCCCATATAACCAAACCCCACCCCCCACCCCCGCCGATGCTCTCCTGGATCAAATTCCAATCCTGACAAAATATCCCACCAACCAAATGGAACCAGGAACTCAAATGGGCGGAGTCCCTTACTAAGACCCCAAGCAATAAAGGTGAATCTAAAGATTTCAAGAGTGGGCCTGTTTCTGGGAGATCAATAGCATTGACCCTGGGCCAGCAGGGCTTTACAGACCCTGACTCTGGAGTAAAGAAACGGAAAGGGGGAAATTCCTTCTCTCTCAGCCCAAACAAATGTAAAATCTAACCAAAAGCAGAGCACTTGGCCAGCTCATGTTCTGGGGATTCCTCAGCCTCCCCCAGGCTGTCCTCTGGCAGGGAAGGCCAAGGAGACAAGCCTATGGATGAGCTCTGGGGTGGCAGAGTGTGGTCAGGAGTAGGCAAGGGCCAGCCTTGTCAGGGTACCACTAGGGCTCAAGCTGTCCAGGCCAAGGCAGGGGCAGCGAAGCTGGTTTCCAGAAACAAAATGCATCCCTGCCCCATCATATAATATCAATTCCTTGTTCAGAATTGGTGAGGACACAAAAAAAGTGAGTTGGAATACGAGACCCTTTCTTCATCCTCCTCTTCCTTGTACGTCACTTTCAAATGCTACTAACAAGAGGCAGGGGCCTTAAACGACGTGCAGTTTGAAGGGAGAATATTAGAGATTCGTTTTATGAGAGGGGAACAGATTGACGGATTTAACTTGCAAAAACTGCATTCCAGCAGCACACCACACACCTCATGCCAATTGTCTCCATTTTCACTACTTGGGAAAAACTGATTTTAACTCTTCTGTTACACAATGTCATATGTGTATGAAGGAAGAGAGGTACAGACTTCTAGAGCAGGAATCAAGCATGACAGAGCTAGTCTAATCCTGTTGTTTTAGCAGAAACTGAGGTATATGGTCAAAAAGTGACTGACCCAAGGTGACTCCTAGAGAGTCTCAGTGCCAGGCTATTCCCCAGTCCTCCTGGCACCACAAAAGTGACAGTATCGTTGACTTGAAGGTGGTCTTGTCTGTAAGAAGCTGGTGAGGGGGAAGGAACAAAAACATTGTCTGCTGAGCACTGATTTGTCAGGCACTGGAACATGCACTTTAGAATTTCACATAATCGTCATTACAGTTTGTATCTTCCCACCCACTTACAGATAAGGACACTGAGGCTGTGTGAGGTTCAATAACTTGCCAAAAGTCACAAAACTACTGGGCAGCAGAATGAGCTTCTGAACTCTCAACACGTGCTCTCTCCACCATACCTTGGAGCTAAATATCATTGACTTTCTCCTCTCCTTCCTACCTTCCATCATTCTGTCTGCCCCTCCCTAGGCAACTGCCTCTTATGGAGGCAGTCTACATCTGTAACAGTGCAGCCACCCCCAAAATACCACACTCTGTTTGAAGGACAATAAAGAGAATCAAACAAGTAGGTTAACTTTCAAATTCAAGTCTCTAAGATTGGAAATATAACCTACAAAAGCCAGCTTCAGCTCCTTGACAGTAAACATTACCCAACATTTGAGAAAAAGGAAAAATGAAAATGTGTAGTTAGGAAGGTGAACATTGGGTTTTATTTCTGCAGCTGAAGGACTCCTTAGTCCCGGCATTCGAGACTAGTTAGTCCCCTAACCACAAAGCTCTAAGGCAAAAAGATTCCCAGACGCTGGAGGTGGGAGGAAACAGGTCACTGGCCACTCCTGGATTCAGGTTCTACCAAGGCAAGGTTGACCCGTGCGGCTTCTTTCCCTGTGGCTATTCAGAGTGAATTATCAGGTCAACCAGACTTCGGCAATGTCAAAATGACTTTGAGACAGGCCTGTGACCATTAATGAATTACTCCAGGGGAATTTTTTTGTAGTTACTGTTTTCTTTTCCTGGTCAGCCTAGCTCTCTGTGTCTGTGCCCTTTGTGAGGACATGGGTCCTATTTGTAGGCTGGACCTCCTGGTGCAGGTCATGACCGCTAGATCTTCCTACCACCGGAAACACTGGAAAAATGCTCTTGAGCAAGTTTTGAAGGAGAGAGCCTCAAAAGCCCTTTGTAGTTCTGTCAGCTGAAGTGTTTCCAGAGGACGATAACTAGCTAGAGGTAGCCCTCCCTCATCTACTCACCTCCAGACTCTTCATCCAATCCACATTTCTCTCAACAGAC